TGGCGCTGGGGAACAGAGCGCGAGTTATCAGCACGCGTCTCGTGGCGTCGGAGAGGGAGGGCTGTCTCTCGGTGACACTAACTCGCAGTCACCAGGAGCTGCGGGCGACAACGCCACGAGCCGAGATCAAAAGGCAGCAGCTCACAAGCCTCACGCTTCAGGGCACGGGTGTTCTCAGAAGCGGAGCCGGCAATAAATGGCTCCTGGCACCTTCTTCGCCCGCAGCCTTGCCGTGCGCGACTTCCCACGCACAGCGCACGCACAGCCGTTCTCGGCAGAGCCAAGCAAGCCGGTTAAATCGACCCCCGCAGTGCCTCCCGCCTGGTGCTGTGCCCCCCCATCTCTGCATCACCACGCAGTCACAGAACCACAGAATCACAGGCTGGCAGGGGCTGGAAGGGACCTCTGTGGGTCACCCAGCCCAACCCCCTGCCCAAGCAGGGTCACCCAGAGCAGGAAAAAAATCAGGTTCCTCCCTGCCCAACTTTCCAGCCTGTCCAGGTCACGCTGAATGGCAGCACAGCCATTCAGTCACATTCGTTCATTCATTCACATTCATTCAGCACAGCACAGCCCGTGCCGCTTGCTGGAGTACGGACGGACGGAGGTGGCAGACACGTACGTTTCTCGCAGACGGCTCCTCCTTTGCCCGCCGGGCAGCTGCAGGTGAACTCCGTCCCATCGTCCTCACAGGTGCCACCGTGCAGGCACGGGTGGGAGTCACAGGGTCGCGAGGGTTTCTTCGTGGTGGGTGGCTGGCGGGTGGGCTTCCGCCGGGTGGTGGCAGGGAGGGCGGAGGTGGGTCTCCTGGTGCTCACGACGCCCGACGTCTTGGCGCTGGGTCGGTGAAGAGCCGGGGGATCCAGTCTGAAAGGCAGCAGAATGCAGGTGGAGGCTGGTGCTTTGCCACCCTCTCTGGGAGCAGGGAAAGCCACTCTAGCTTTTGGGGCGACGTGGTAGCAGAGAGGCTTGGAAGGACAGCTCTTCCAGGCCACCACATGCCTGAAAGCCCAAGTGCCCTCTCCGCTCTCCGGGGCTCCCACAATATTACCCTCCTTATGACCTTCCTGAGTTGAGAAGAAGTTTGGGCACATGGAATCTCCGAGCCCTGGCTCTAGATGGCACATCTGGGGAAGCTTTTGATGGGTGACTGCTACAGCTGAAAGGCCCCACCAAGACCAGAAGAGCCAGCCTGCCTGTTTAGAAGCCTAAACCAAGAGAGGGCACTCACCAAAGTCCATGAATTTGACATGCTCCTGCTGGGGCTTCTTCACCAGAATGGTCTTCTTCTTGGAAGCTTTGATCTGCTTCAGCAGGGCCCCTTGGACATCAGCTGCTGTGTAGGAGGTGGCTGATCATAGCCAGGGAGAGAAAGCAGAAAGGCAAGAATGAAGATGCAGGCCCACCTAGCAGTTTCCCCTCTCGTGACCTCCCCATGATGCATCCGAATCATTCCTTTCCCTAGGAAGATGCTTCCAGGCACCAGCTAAGGGTGTACCACCTCCCAGCTCTTCTCAGAGCACCTGTTGATTTTGCTGGACAGAAGACATAGCCCTGGCAAATTTTAACAAGCTTCTTCCATGCTCCTTGCCACACACGTGTTTCTCAGGCCAGCAGCCCCGCTGGGAGTGCCTGCTCCCTCCTCGGGCAGACGGCGAGGCCTCAGAGAATCAGCACCGGGGAGGCTCTTACCTGGGTCAAAGTGGGACTCCACAATGACACGGACAGCGCTGCTCTGCCCCAGGTCTCGGACACGGATACTCTTGAAATCCTTCTTAACGTCAGAATTGCGGAAAAGCTCATCCAGCTGGTTGGGCGGAGGTGAAGGGAGGAAAGATAAACAAATTGAGTAATGGGGAGATCCTAGGACATAGGTCCGTGCAGTAGAAGATCTTGGGTCTCAGTGAGTCTCCTTGGTTTCAACCCACAAGGGTTTGCATCCAAACCTTTGTAAGACATCCCACGGACACATGCAAAGAACAGGGCTCCTCTGTGTCGGGTGAGAACTTCAGGTGGTCCCTATTCTTTCTGGCCTGCAGTCAAAGGTAGGAACAGGCTCCAGAAACAGTGTGGGGAACACAAGCAATCCCCATCGTACCCGTGGAGAAGAGTGGAACAGAGCCAGACCAGAGACACCTCGCAGTTCATATTAGGATTTTCTATTGTGTGGCATCTAAGCCTTACTGATCTCTTCTAAAGCTGTGTAAACCTGCTTAGGCACTTTGGGAAATCCCGTAAGGCACCGTTCTGCATCTCTAAGTACCCGACTGCCTTTTAAAACTTGGCTCTCCGACATCGCAGGATTTGCCTGAAGTCAACACCAAGGAGACGGCGACAGGCCAAGGCTTACAGCAAGTCAGGGCTTTAACACCCCTGCTCGCCATCTGCCCAGCCCCACGTTGGCTTGGCAGTCGTCACAGCTAGAGCCCACTGCGTCCTTCCCTCGGCTTCAAGGCAAAGACAGCAGAAAGCAATCAACTGCCCGATGGTCCCATGGTACAGTCTCCCCTTATAAACTCGGGCATAGCGATCGCAGAGGGGTAAAGGAGCACGTCACGTCCATGGATATCTACAGGTAGGTTGCACAGGTCTCTGCAGCACAGAGCTGTGGCAGGAACCCTCAGCCCAGCCCCAGACCCTGGGAGAGAGGGCCTGTGCCATGCCTTCACCTCCTCCAGCTCTAGGAAAACAGAAACCAGCAAAAGGGCCGAGTGGATGAACCAGCAAATGAAGCTTTTGTGAGGATGTTTGCATCCTCAGATAGAAGCCACTGTTGTATCGGGAAATATCGCTATTGTGATACGGAGCTGCACGAACCATATGGTCCATATGCCAGCCACACAGCTGCTCCTATGACTGTGTGGAGGGCTTGCCAACTTCTAAGTGCAGCTTGGAACCAGCTCTAAATTCGTTAATCTCCTTGCAGAGATGCTTTGTATTTGCTGTGCCACACTGCAGGCTACAGTACAACGTTGCTACCCGACCCAGAGCTTCCTTGGCATGCCCGTACGTACACACTGTCTGCTCCAAGAGCTGGCAACGCAGCGGGGGTTCTCCTTCAAGGTGGGAGACTGGATTTACACAAGCAGCTTCCCAAGTTGTGTAGCTGAACTGGAGGGGCAAAGGGTTTTGGAGATGTTTTTGCTTTTTGTGGAGATAGGACACTTTGGGAAAGCCAGGGCGCGAAGGCAGAACCTCTCGTCCAAACTGCCTCACCACCAAGCTCAAGCTGAAAAAGGATGATTTTTGACCCAGCATGGAACAAAGGATGGAGCCCACTGACACAGCATGTGGGAGAGGCTAATAACACAGGCAGATTAAACAGAGGTGGGACAAATTCACAGAGGGTGCCTCTTAGACAGAGCCAGTGTGTGTCATCTCCTTAAGACTCTGAAGCGCCCACCCCATCAAAGCGCTGGCCCTGGAGATAAGCTGTGTCCACTCCCAACTTATGCAGGTTAAGCCCATCTCAAAAGAAAAAACCCAACGTGGAGCAACGCTCCTCCGAGGCACTCGAGCCATTTCACAGATAGGGGAGCAGCGCTCAGAAAGCAGACAGCGCTCGGTCCCTGCTTCGGCGGGGTGGCTGGAACGCAGTGGGCACAGCTTTCCTGCAGAGCGCTGGCACCTCGGAGGCCAAGCAGGGTCCTCTCTTCTTCTGCCGAGGCCAGAGAAGCCCCAGCCAGACCCCAGACCAAGCGCAAAGGACTCACCGCACTCTCAATGCTCCTGGCCGTCTCCCCAAAGAGCTCCGACTTGGGGTCAGCCATCTCAGGGGTGTAGAACAGCTCCTGGCCCTCCACCTCCTCCAAGATGAGGACTCCTTGGAAGACTTTGGTAGCTAGGGGAGGGAGGGCAAACAAGACAAACGCCTTTAGTTGGCTGGTGGGCAGGGGACAGGCGTGGGGCTGACAGCCGCAAGGAGCGTTCGAGTCCCTGGGGGGAAAGGGGGATGGCAGTGTGCGGGTAGTGCCAGTGTTGGGGTTAGTCTGGATGGGTCTGGGAGAGCGCCATGGAGGATTAGTATCAGAGGGTGCTGGAGCAGATGGCAAAGACCAGGCTGGAGATGGCAGCTTTTACCATACGGTTTCCTCTGAGCTCCGGCCCGGGTAGCAGCCCCCCTGCACCGGCTGAGTAACAAGAGAAAGACGTTAGCCAGAGCAGCACATAGTCAACACGGCAGGATCAGACACGGGCATGCAAACAAGGGGCAGAGGGCAGCGAAACGTGGATTCTGGACACGGAGAAGACCTGTGCTGGGAGAGGGAAGCAGAGATCCTGACAGCTAACAGGCTGCGGCCAGCCTTGCGAAATCAGACGGAAACTGCTAGAGGAACCCAAGGTGTGGTTCCCTCCCAGGGGAGCTGAGGGAGTGCTGAGAGAGCTGCAGAAAGATCCCCGCTGTGGGTAACCGTACGGGAGGGTCCCAGCAGCTGTCCCGGGCTGAAAGGGGAACGTGGTGTCCAGAGGAAAAGGGGATGTCCTGCTGGAAACCCCCAGGAACAGGGACAGTTCAGAAGGACCTCAGTGAGCAGTGAGGAAACATCTGGGAGATGGCCCCAGAGCAACAATTTTTAGGGTAGTGAGGATGTGTGTACAGGGCAACCGATGCCGTGGCCGAGCACAGGTGGCTCTGCGTTTCCTCGGCACGGACAGTGTGAGAGGGACTGTAAGGAGGCATGATAGATCCCGCCTAGGTCAGGAGAGCAGCCAGCACCCCTGGGAACCCCAGTGTGAGGCGAGAAGCTCAGACTCCTCGGGAAGCCGAGCAGAGACACCGGGGCAAAACAATTCCCTCTTCCCCCCTAGAGCCAGCTGTGAGCTCTGCAGAAGCCTGGACAGAACACCGGTCAAAGTTCTAAGGCTGCAGCAGCCAAGAAGAAAGTGGTCACCTAAGCGAAGAAAACTGCCGAGTGCTCTGGCTCCCCGTGTGAACAGCAGCACCCACCCAAGCGCTGGGGCTGGCTGCCGGAGGGCACAACGTCTGCCAGCTACCAGGGCTCAGCACGTCCCCATGGATGTCCCTCAGGGAGACGGCAGCTCTGGGCTGGACCCAGGGACCGTGCTCACTGCCAGCTGGGCAAGCACGGCACCCTGATGCTCTCCCCACCAGGCAGCTCCCATGGCATCTCTCCCTCTCCAGCACCCTGCCAGAGCTCAGCCTGACTCCTGACCACCAGACGGGAGCCCAGAACCCAGCCCTGATGACAAACTCACCCGGACAGTTGCTGCCTTCCGCGTCAGCAGCCGCAGTCTTGCCGTCAGAGCAGCATCCCAGCGGGGTGTTGTAACAAGTCGCCCTCTCGACGGCTGGGGTGGACGATACCTGGCTTTCCTCCACCTCCTCTTCCCCTGCAAGGCATTAAGAGGAGCATTCACCAGCAGGAGGTCAGACCTCACCTCCGGGTCAGACGATGACGCTGAGACACAGCTTCGTTTCGTCGTGAGAGATGGGGTAGGGTTTAGCCCACAACCAACCTACCAAGCTCGAGAAGCGCGTACTCACCGGCAGAGCCTGCCCCACTAGATTCCTGGTCTCCACTGATGCCCATCTCTTGGTCTCCACTGCCTTCTGCACTGCCTGACCCAACGTAGGTAGGCTGGGTGGTGGCCAGGACCACCGGTGCGGTGGAGAGAGGGCGGACGGTGGTCTTATACACCCCGTGGGTCATCCACGGCGTGGTGGCTGGTCTGGCAGTCGTGATGCGCCTTGTCGTAGGGTGACCTCTTTCCGTAGGCCTGGCTTCCAACAGCAGGGTGCTGGTAGCCAGCTCGGTGGGCTCTGGAGCCCGGGTGGTGAGCCGCAGCGGTGGAGGAAGGATTAACTTGTCCAAAGGCAGCGTGGGCAGAGGTGTGGGTGTTGAGGTGTGGCTTGTGTGAGTGATGGACTCTGAAAGGAGCAGCAAGACAGGGTAGGTAAGGAGGGGCAGGTCTGGGAAAGGCTGTCCGTGATGCTGGGACCATGAAGAGTGACGGCACAGTGAGGAACCACGCAGGGAGGCAACCAGACCTGGGTCCAGAGCTGCAGGCACTCACCGTGGCACTGCCCCACGTGCTTCACTGTGATGGCCTGTCCCTGCCGGCAAGCGATCGTCCTCAGCTGGCACTGGTCCCCGTAAGTGACACCATCAGAGCCACACACCTGGGAGGCAGAGGGGAAACGTGGATGCCGTGGATGCCCCCTCCCTGGAAGTGTTCAAGGCCAGGTTGGATGGGGCTTTGAGTAACCTGGTCTAGTGGAAGGTGTCCCTGCCCATGGCAGGGGGTTGGAACTAGATGATCTTTGAGGTCCCTTCCAACCCAAACCACTCTATGAGACTCTCTGTGAAATGTGAGCTGCACCTCAGTCCCCCTGGGGAAGCCCAGGAGCAGCTCAGATGTGCCAGATGGGGCACAGAGCACTCAGCTCTGCTGGGAGACATCTCTGACTGGCACGTCACCCTTCTCCACGCACTGAAGACAGCGACCGAGGTTGCCCGCCTGCTCCTGGGCAGGGGGAAGAGACACAGGGCTCCCGCGCTGCCTGCACCAGTCAGACACAGCCGAGCCGGCCGCACGTCCACACGCGCGCTGCTCAGCCCCCATGGCTGCCTCTCCCACAAACCTTGGTCATGTTGGCCTCCGAGCAGAGCGGGGATGGGCACTCGCAGTGGGCAAAGCCGTTGACTTCCACGCACGAGGCCCCAAACTCACAGTTCATTTCCTCGCAGGATTTTGGGGCTGATGGGTCTGGGAGAGAAGGGGAAAGAGATGAGCAAAGCTCACACCAAGTAGGCATGGTGGTGATGGGTTGATGGTCGGACTTGATGAACTCAGAGGTCTCTTCCAACCTTAATGAGTCTATGATTCAATCATTCAGAAACAGGCTATGCTGAACCAAAATCCCTCTCTCCTCCCATTGGGCCTTGGCTCTCCCAGGGACTCGCCCGAGCAGTGCAGACCAGTGGACGAGACAGACTTTCACCTTTGGTCAGGCATTGGACCAGGCTGCCCAGGGAAGTGGTGGAGTCCCCATCCCTGGAGGGGTTCAAAAAACGTGTGGATACGGCACTTCAGGACATGGTTTAGCAGGCATGGTGGGGATGGGTTGACAGTTGGACGTGATGATCTTAGAGGTCTTTTCCGACCTTAATGATTCTACGATTCTAAACAGAGCAACAGCTCCTCATGCTGTGCGTGGGTTCATGGATAGGAGGAACCCAGCCAGGCGCAGAGGCCAGGGCCCCTTTCCCCCGAAGCACAAGCAGGCAGGGTGGGAGGGATGCACGTCTTCCACAGTCTCGCCCTGCAGCAGCACCCCAGCACCCATCTCTCAATGTCCCAGGTAGCAAGCCCTCAGGTACGCAGCTCCCTCACCTTTCTCACAGCCAGTCATGCCCAGCTTGCTGCCGTTGGGGCACTGGTTGCATTTCATGCCAGTGATACCAGTCTTGCAGGAGCACAGTCCAGTCATCTGCTCACAGTCGTCACGCACTGAACCCACCGGGTCGCAGTTACAGGCTGGGCAAGAAGAGAAAAGGGACACTGCTTTGATGGTGGATTTGTGGAGCCAACAGCAGGCTTGCCCAGGTCCCCCAGCAACCCAAGGAAGAGCGAGGAGAAGGGTCCAGGGAGGGCCATGAAGCTCACTGCCACTCGCTGCTTACTGCGCCCACGCCAGCCCCTGCCCTCTGACCATGGCCCCACGGCTTCTGAGCCCACGTCTGCCCCGCAGACCCCCGTTCCCATCACCACTAAAAGATTTACGTGGCTCCAGTAGGACCCTTCACCCATCCCAGGAGACCTTCTCCCTCTCTCTGGCGCAGGGTAAAGCAGAGGAGATACTGGCCATTAGTGTCTGTCTAGCTTGAGGTCTGAGGATTTTATCTACTGACATTTACGATCCCGCTTTTAGAGCGAGACTGATTTAAAGACCACAGGTAAGAGCGAATGAAGCACAGACTTCGGAAGACATCTCAGCAGTGTGATGCCTTTGCTGTTACAAAGGTGACGTCCTGTTTCCAATTTAAGCTTTCGGGCTCTGACCTGCACCTACTGAATCCTGACGTGCCAGCGTTCACACCAGCACTCCTTCCTGGAGCCGTGAGAGGAACCCAGGAGTCCTTTCTCCGCAGCCCCGAGCATCCTTCCTTCCCTCCAGCCGCACAGCGGTGTCCCCAGCCGGAGCTCGCTGCCTCTGAGCACGGCGCTTGGATTCCGTCCCTCGGCCAGGCGGGAGCCCGAGACACGTCCACCGCTCGGCAGAGAGCTACCCGTGACTTCAGCGAGAGATGGGTGGAATCGTATTCTCTGCTGTTCGCAGTCCCCTCCCAAGAACCCCTCTTCAACCTGGCTCTGCCTAGGTGGCTCTTACTGGCTTTCCTGGGTGGGTCTCCAACACCATTTGCAATAAACAGGGCTTTTTTTCTGGTTTTTTTACTGCTATTCTCACGTGGCTATTCCTGGTGGGGGTCAGCATCATCGGGCAACACCACCTCGTTCCTTCCACTTCAAACCCGCTCCTTCACACCCGCCTGCCACGGGCAGGGACGCCGGGCTCTAGCAGCCCTGCGGCGCGTCTGGCCGGGGCGCAGGCGCAAGGCCGGGG